CGAGAACCTGGGTCACACGGACAGAGCTGAAATGGAAAACAAACAGAAAAGCCAACACACCACAAGCATACCCACAGCACAATCTCACACATCAATAACAACCTGCGCCTCCAGACAGAGACCTCCTCTTGACATCTTGCAACACAATCGCCACTTGCTAGAATGACTCTTGCAGAATGCAACGTGACCATAGCAGCACCTCATGATACTCTACGCACATCGTCTTATCTACTCACTACCAATTACTACTGCAGTCGCTTGTCACTCATTCTGCCTCAGTTCTAGTAGCGGTGACGCATGCGAGCCTCAGTCGTTTACACTCTTTCTCCCCGGCGTGTGGGATCGCAGCTAACAATTATCTCCGTGTGCATTTCATTCTCAGCAATAGCCTAGCCTCCCCGGCGTATACGACCAATCTGCTGTCTCTAACATCAATCAATTCATTCATGGACGTAGAAGACTAGAAACAACTTCAGAAGTAATCACGACGAAAATTTTACAAAATTACGCAATAACAACAAGATACGAAAACAACAAGTAAACACAATGAATCCAAAAAACACCAATTGATAGAACACACCACACATATATACAAACAGTACAAACAACCTCGCCGATCATGTCTTGATTGAATTCCTTTGAAGAATTGCAGGACTTACACCAGTACGCCTGCAACCCTTCACAGGTTGACGATTGTAAGTTGTGGAATGTCCGGACACAAACAAGATTAACCAACAATTACAATAATTGGAACTCGCAACTATTTAACACAAACATATGTACAATGACTACATCAAATGTTGTGGATTCCGACACGACAAACTACCCTTGAAGAACTGTAGGACTTACAGCAGTACGCCTACAACCCTTCTCAGGTTGACGCCCTAGGTTGGAAAATCGTCGCAGAGTTCATTTGCTAACTTCCTTCTATCAGCTATATCCTCAAATCTGAACGGTAACCCGCTCATGTCATTGTATCGTAGAATATACATGACCAACATACACACGCCATATCTCATCAACCAAGTATAGAAACAGAGTAATTTACACCAAAGATAATAACATTCAAATAGTGACTTGAAACTAGAAATGCCTTTATTCGTGCAGGTCAATTTAACAATAACTCTCTCCTTTACACTTGGCTTATCCACACTAAACTGACCATTGATATTCGTCCTTTCAAACGAACTGATACTACCATAGTCATTGCACAAGATACTTGAGTTGATGGGTGTCTGTCTCACTGCGGATGACAGCACCAACGATGACTGATTGACACAAGGTGATGAACTTAGTGGTGGATCAGAAGCTGTTCTTTTTCGGCTTTCAGATAGTTGTCCAACTGCAAGATTACCACCACTGCTGTCTTTCACTACTAGTTCGGGTTTAGCACTATCATCTGATGATAGGTGGGCTACACGCTGATCAATTACACTGACTGTCTCACAAGTATGCACACCTTCTGGAACTGCATCTGCATTCAATTCTACTTCACGTTGTAGTTGTACAGAACCTTTATTTAACTTAGCAGTAGTAGGCATATCCCGCATCTCATAATGATCAACCAAAGACAAATCTGCACTATCATGATCATTATCACATATATCCAATTTACCGTCAAGTTCATCATTTTCAAACTCTTTAATAACAGAAGTAGACAATTTTGGTTCCTCCTCACAAATCATTAAAGGTTTTACATCTTCACTCTGACTAGTTATACTTTGTAAACTTTTGGAGTCAGAACTCCACTCTGAAGCAGTAACTCTATTCTGTGACACTCTATTCAGCAACGGCTTACCAGTTGCAACTACAGACTTCTTCACAACAACGTTATCGTCACACAATTCGGAGTAAGGCCTGGAGTTTACACTTAGCTTATCACTGAACTTGCTCACTGGTTCACAGTTCACTTCTGTATGCACCTCTTGCACACGTGTGAAACAAAACCGTGTTTGTCTTGCATCTTGTAACTTATCTGTTGAGGATGTATTACGAAACCTGTTACACTCACTAGGTCTATATGCATTACTAGACATCATGGAGCTTTCTCGATATCCACCTCTCTGAGGCCTACTCGTCATCAATGAGTGCGTTTTACCCTCAGACTGCTCTATTCTAGGGGTGAGATCTAACAGACTGGCGAACTTGCTCATAGATTGATTGACACTAGTATTTACCAGTTTCAGGATATCATCAAACTTTGGCTCGATACCCTCATCCTCCATACGGGAGCTTATCTTCACCCACTTCCTTTGCAGTCGAGTAGGTAGGCGTCTCGCAATTACTTCTAGTATAAAACTCGAGTTGAGATCACTCATTCGATTCATCGAAATCATACCATTCTTGTAAATTAGCAAATTATCTAAAAACTCAGTGAGTGCCTGGGAGTCATCCTGTAATTGACCACCATTACCCTTAACAGCCTCGAATAATTTCCCTGCAATCATCGAGGGTCTTCCAAACCTTTGGCGTAATATGCTCATAGCCTCATCGTAGCCCTCTTTTGGCTTCATAAACTTACAACACTGTATAGCTCTTGCAGCATCTCCAGTGCAATATCTCATCAAATACATCAATTTCAATTCATCATTTAATAAAAAACCACTCAACATGATCTCAAACTCCTTTACAAATTGTAAATAATCAGCCGGGTTTCCATCAAAACATCGTGGTTCAAACCTGGGGAGTTTGATGTTCCTATTATCCCTGAACGGCGAAACAGTACCATCAACCATATCATGTTTAACATCAGACACATCGTTACAATTAACAGACAAGTCACCATGACTTACTTTCCTGTTTGCATCCAAGACACTCTGTCCCTTCTTTGACCCAGGCATTGTTGAACTTGACCCAATTCCAAAAAAGTTCCAGATATTGCTTGTTCAAAGAGGACTTGACCGGCACCAGGAAAACTGAACGGCGACTATACAAACTTTCACCAACTGTTTCAATCCGCCAGATCTGTTTCTATCGTCAGAAACTGTCAGCTACCGTCTCATAAACCGTTAATGCCCAGCTCTCGCTACGCTCGGGCCCACGCTGTTCCTTTGAGTTTTCAGAAACGCTTAGTTATAACGGACGAAAAAACCAAAACACCAATTGTTGACTTGAGTATTATGTATTGTTACACCAGCATATAGATCAAGTATCACTAAGCAAACTAAGAAAACTAAGGTCTGTAAACAAATATTACAATAATAAATCGTTATGTTACTTCTGACGATATTTAACTCTTCTTTCTGAACAGCGACCGATGAGACGATGACTGTCGTATTGATGCCTCCGCGAAAATCGAGGAAGTTGATTTTGAGCAAACAACCAAGAATTGATCGTTCAATCTTCAACTCCATTGACAACCCAATACATAAATAGCAGCAGAAGGAGAGGCCAATTTCAGCGTACACTGCACTAAATATTTTTCTGATTTCAGATCAATTCCACACCGTAATTTTTTGGTACAGGTGTGGAATTTTGAAGATTGTTTTCGGTAGCCCAAATTTCGCAGACCGACAATAGATATCAGGTGTGCGTCGGCAGGGAATCGAACCCCGGACCATTTGCATGGTCGGTGAGAGTCGTAACCACTGTGGCACCGATGCCGTGTGTTAGGAAAGACGAAGGACACACTGGCAGTGGAAACAGAACAGGCTCATCACGGATAAAACAAACCTCAGGACATTACACCATATAATCAGGCGTCTATCTGACGGAACCGATAAAAGAAACCGATAAAATAGCTCAAAGGAACCAGATTATCAAGGAGAGAAACAAATAACACAGCGGGCTGATTACTCTAAAGGACTATGAATCGACCATCACCTGCAACTCGACTGGAAATACACCATCAACAAAAGAACGCACGTAAGTGTCAGTGGACATCGGTCTTTCAACTAAAGCTGTAATGCTGAATGCGATCGAGCTAGTGAGATTTGGTAGCCAAGGCAAGGGGAGCAGATAGGGGTACCTCGAGGCGCCAGAAAACGAACTCAGATACGACGACAGATGTTCTCACTCAACTACTGCAAAAAGTTTGGGAAGAAGGAATGTAACTAACGATTGGAAGAAAGGCTACCCTGTCAAGCTACCGAAGATTGGAGACTTGGGCCTCTGCAACAACTGCCATAGAATCATGCTCTTGCCTACATCCGTTAGAATACTAAGTCAGATCATCCTGGAGAGAATAAAAGATGCACTGGACACAGAACTCCACTAACAATAACAAGCTGGGTTCAGGAAAGGCACATCATGTGCTGACCAAATTGCGACTCTACGCATCCTCATCGAACAGTTCAAGATATGGCAGTCAAAATTACACAGCGACTTCGTCGACTTCGGAAAGGTCTTCGACAGCGTTGATTGTGAAGTGACTTGGAAACTGCTTCAACACTACAACTTGCCTCAAGTCTTTATCGGACTCATTCAAGAGCTATATGACAGTGGCACGTATCAGGTGATCAAGAACAGGAGCTCAATGAGTCATTCGAAGTGAACATGAGGGTAAGGCAGCGCTGTCTATTATCACTGATGATATTTTTAATTGTGGTGGACTGAAGGATGTGTCAAACTGTGTGTTGGTAGAGAAGAGACAGGAATACGTTGGACCAGTGATAAGAAGACTCTAGAAGATCTGGATTTCGCGCGTGAATCATAAATGTCTAACGTCACACAAATTCGAAGACTTGCAGGCAGGAGAAAAGCAAAAAATGGCTAAAGAGGGGACGAAAACGGGACTGCAGGTAAACACATAGAAGACAGAGGTGGCCAACCACCACCAACAGAAACAACAGCCAGCACCAATCACCATCAGTGGGAGAGATTTAACAGAGTATACCTCCTTCACACTAGGCTGGCCACACACTTTACTCTTACCCCATTCCTAAAATTTGTCGTAGTTCTTGCCTATAACCCGAGAAGTAGAAACATTTTCCAAACTGAGTCTAGAAAGCGCACAAAAGGATACTCATCGTAACTACCGCAATATCTGAAACATACGCTACATGGACGAAGTGATTTTTGTTACCGACCCTGCAAGTATTTTACTGAATGCTGCATTTGAAGCTGTATCTGGATATGAGAATATTAATCCAAAGCGCCTCGGATCTTGTGAAGTCATCAAGTTATATCCGTGTAAACCGTCAAAAGATGTTTGTTTCGTCCTTGCACGTTTTGAAGGTAATTGCTACGAACATCTTCGTTCATTGGAAGTATCAATTTATGGTCCACAAGTTATTCTACATTATGTAAGAGAGAATAAAGCTCTGCCGAATCTCCCTTATCCTCTGTTTTCGACAGCCCTCATGAATGCCACTGCCACTGTAACGTCCGTTACCGGAGTTCAGAGGAAGCAGATATTTGACTCGATACAAATGCTTCATGGGACTGTGTCGCGTGACCTGACAGATAATGTAAATGTTGTGGTCACAGCCAAGGTGGGGTCCAAGAAGTATTTGGTTGGTGCCAGCAGGAATCTCCATATCTTACTTCCTGAGTGGATCTCCGAGGCTTGGCGGCTTTCAGAGATTCAAGATCCTATCGATATGATGTTACCAATTTACACGGAGAAGTTCCGTGTCCCAATATTTTCACAGCTTGTTATTTGTGTTTCGGGCTTATCTGTGGAGGAAAGGAAAGAGGTTGCTGATTTAGTTACTAAACATGGCGGAAGTTACTCTGGGGTTATGAAAATTGGCGAGACGACACACTTAATTACACAACAAGCCTCAGGAACAAAATACGTTCATGCAAAGAAGTGGAAAATACAGATAATAAATATTCAGTGGCTCATTGATTCGGTTAATAGAGGGTATGCACTGGATGAGGAAGAATATCGAATAGACCAGTCAAATGCAAAATCATCAACACCAACGTCAAATACATCTCAAAATAGTATTTCATTCAGAAATATATCAGCTATTAGTTATATAGGTGATGTTCATACAAAAGTTGATGAAACTAAAACAGAATTTAGTCGCCTGGAAAGTGTTCAGGTTGGTAATGCTAAAAACAATCTTCACATCCTTTCTGGCTGTGTAATTATGCTTTCTGATTGCAGCAAAGATGAGAATCAGTCGTATACACAGGTCATCAAAGAACTAGGCGGTAAATTATGTACAGAATTACACGATCAGGTAACAGAAAATTTAACCCATGTTATCGTTGGAGATGTTTCTAGTTTCAATTTTAAGTCAAAAGAAAAGGATGTTATGTATGTCCAAGGGGAATGGTTGCTTGCATGTCAGAATTCTGGTCTTCGTCTTCCAGAAGATAACTATTTGATAAAAGATGTTGATATAGACTGTGAAAAGATGGAAGATAACTTAGATAATGCTACTGTGACAAACGTGGATGCAGCTGACCTACAATTAATTAACCAGTACTTTGCAGACGGTGGTTTTGCAGAAGCTGATGATTTCCAGAATGACTTCGATGAGACAAGACAACTAACCAAGGGCATCAATGAAAAGTCAACCCAACGTGAGAATATAAACGATGCTAAGCAAACAGATGTTCCCGAAGTACATCAAATTGATGGTTGCTTCTCTAGGTTTTCATTCTCTTTTCATGAAGAGTTGCGTAGTGAAGACGTTTCCAAGTGTTCTAGTGTAATAACAACATCGGGTGGTTCAATATCGCGTGGTGAGCAATATGCCGACTTTGTGGTAACTCCATTTTTTGTCTTTAAGCTCCCTGTAGTACCAAAGTCCTGCCAATTTGTTACTACAGCTTGGATTTCACATTGTGTACATGAAAAAAGTCTGTGTATACAAGACATTAGCAGAGAATATGCGTTTAAACCTATGATAAGAAAACCAGATCCACCACCTTTATCAGGATGTGTTATTTCTCTTAGTGGTTTTGTTGGAAATGATAGAAATTTATTAACTTCATACGCACAAGCCTTGGGAGCAGTTGTTCAAGAATGCTTTCTTCGCAAGTCAGTGGTATCTAGAAACCTCTCAGCCAGTACTCACTTGGTAGCAGCCAAGCCAGATGGGCGGAAGTGGCCTGCAGCTAAACAGTGGGGTTTGCCAGCTGTAAATCGTATGTGGCTCTATAAGTGCGCTGAAATGTGGTCTCTAGTTGATGAGTCGAAATTTCTAGTCACTGATACAACTGATGCGTCTGATGGCAGCAACAGTAAAGACACTGCAGTGAATTCAAAGACTGTTGGCCCACCAGATATCATGCCAGACAGAAAAAGCTTAAAAGAAATACAATTCAATAACCCTACCAATTTGGAGAGTAATGATAGTCTTCGTAAATCAGTCAGTGGCAAACCTAATGAGAGTTTCGAATGCAATTTAGCTCTCAGCAATCTAGCTGAAACAATGCAAACACCTGATTGGGTTCGCAATGCCCACGGAAGTCATATGCCTAACTCATCACATGATCTTTCAAATTCTTCTTACAGACCATCTCCACCTTTGTCTGTTCAAGTGTCTAGATGCTTGAAAAATGCAGTCAGAGAAACATCAGCATTACCCAAACGAAAATTGGAGCTTTCAGGTAATTACTATACACTTTAGCCCATCATATATCCGCTTTTATTTTGTTGGTACTATTGTCTACACTTTAGGTGTTTAATGTCGACCTGTTTACATCCTACAAAAATTTGAGAGCTTGTTTGTAGTCATTAGATTTAGAAGTTTAGTAAATCTTCTTGTATCTTTCCGTGTGCATCTTTTAACGTTAAATTACTAATAATTAGTCTCCTGCTCTTATTGATAGTCGTAAGTGGTGTATAGTCAGTGTTGAATGGTAATGTTAGGATATATGTTGGGAGGTAGTGCGGCTCCAGAGGAATCTAATCAGTTTTAAGGTATGTAACGAGAAGTATAGCACTATTTATTGTAAGACTGTTTGCAGCAAAATATACATCAATGGAATATTCTCTAGATTTAACGGTTGACGATTATTTTGAGTCATTCACAGTGATCCATTAGCTTCTTCAGTTAGCATGTACAATATCTAAGATCTTTTCGTACTCACTGTTAGATCTTGATTAAAATTTGGTTAGAATTTGTATAAAAATGCAGATATTTACATTCAAGTTAAGGAATATTAAAACGCATTTATTTTGCTTTAAAGCGTACCATTTTTTCTCTGATTGCCTATGCAATGTATTTGCAGTTTGCAATAATGACTTTTTAGAAGTTATTTCTGCCACCAATGTTGATTTTTCTCATTTGGTAAATATTGACATCATTAGTTCATTGTAATATATGTTGAAATAATTTCAAATTAATGCAAGTGGTTTAAAAGTAACCCACAATTATTATCCTGCTCTAGGTTTAAAGTTGAACGATATGCAGTCTATTATATTAATTTGCCAATATCGAATTTAGAGGTAGATTTTAGTTTAATGATATACATTTTTTTTACACAAGTGTATACTTCACTTTATTGTCAAGAAATGAGGTAACGTTTGACAGTTAACGTTATAAGAGTATTATGGTGCTTCAGATTAATAACGTAGTCAATGTACTCGATTCCATTACTATTTATAGTCCATTATACAAATGAGCATTTAGTCTATGCGCTGATTCTTTCATGGTTTTCAAGAATTGAAATCTCTACCTTATAATCCACAGAATTAATGTTACACATGTATTCTAAGCTAGTTATCATATTTCATAGCTTACAATTCTGTCTTCAGTGTGTCATTTGATACGGTATTTACTCCAGCTGTGTATTGAGTTTTGGCATGCTTTACCTAAAGACGAGTGTATATTTAAGTTAATCATGTCTTTTTCTGTTCGTGTGTCATATCTTAGTACATTTTAGTTAGTAATTCTTAGTTCCATGATAGCCATTCTTAATTATACAAAGACTAGGAATACTCAATCTTTAATAGCTTGGAGATGAACTATTATATCGTGAGTATTCTAAGTGTATGATTAAGAACAGTCTGTTCAAACCAAGTGACACAATTATGTCCAACGGATTTATCCAGGTCTATCTGTTTTCGACATAGAACTTCACACATATGTGCGGCAGTTCAAGTCGCCACACTCCATGTAGCACACAAGGCAAGAGAAGAAAGTACAAGAAAAGCATAATAGAGACAGTAAGCAGAGGTGTGAGACAAAGGAATAGTAATAACGAAGAACAAAACCGTTTCATTGGAAATCATAAGTCATAAGGAGTTGATGCATGTGCGCCAGCCTTCATTGAGAACGATTTTGAGCCATGTCCCGATATACAAGAAGGGAGACAAGTCTTCCTGTGATAATCACAGAGGGATTAGCTTGACTAATATAGTATCTAAAGTCTTAGGCTCAATAATCATGCGTAGACTGAGTGGTGCTCGGGAAGCACAAACACGAGAGAGCCAGTCAGGCTTTAGACCAGGAAGAGGGTGTATTGATCATATCTTCACCCTCCGACAGATTCTAGAACATAGGCATTCCTACCGGCGTCCAACAGTCATTATATTTCTTGACCTAAAGGCAGCATTCGACTCTGTCGATCGGGAAGTTCTCTGGAGATGCTTGGCTGTAAAGGGAATTCCAAGAAAATATATTGCACTGATTAAGGCACTCTATTCGTACTCATACAGCCAGGTGAGGGCTTACGGCGAGCTGTCATCTGAACTGATGACGACCAGTGGTGTCCGTCAAGGATGCCCATTATCTCCTTTTCTATTCAACTTCATCATAGATATGTTAATGGACTTAACCCTAGGTGACTTCAGCGATTCAGGGATTGACTTGCTACCGGGGAATAATCTCGTTGACTTGGAATATGCAGACGATATAGTCCTTCTAGGCGAAGACGCTGACGAAATGCAGAGTCTTCTAAACACCTTGAACAGCAATCTACGAATGTTTGGCATGCGATTCGCTCCCGCCAAATGCAAGATGATGTTACAGGACTGGACTACATCGACGCCTAGTTTAAAAATAGGAAGTGAAGTGGTAGAGCACGTTGACCGCTTCACTTATTTGGGAAGTACCATCAGCCCCAACGGGCTGATCTCTGACGAAATCTCAGCACGAATACAAGGGGCTCGTTTCGCATTTGTTAGTTTACGCCGACTCTGGCGTAGACGAGATGTTCGACTATCGACCAAAGGGCGGGTGTACTGCTCATCAGTCCGCTCCGTCCTCCTTTATGGTTGTGAGACCTGGCCACTGAGAGTGGAAGACATGAAAAGACTAGCTGTCTTTGATCATAGGTGCCTGCGTTCTATTTCCCGTGTAAAGTGGCATAATAAGGTGAGCAACATGGAGGTTAGGCGTAGAGTTCTAGGTAAATAGGGGAAATCAATCGACGAAGTCGTGAAGCTACAAAGACTGAGATGGTTAGGACATGTGTTACTTATGCCAAGTCATCGCCTCCCTCGACGAGCTATGTTAGCGGATATAGGGTCAGGCTGGAAAAAAGCTAGCGGCGGTCAAACAAAAACTTGGCATCAGTCAATGAAATCCACAACAGTTGGTCTTAGCCACGTAGGAAGGTGTAGACTTCCAGGCTGGGGTCCTCGGGACGGTAAAAATCAATGTTTGAAAACAATTGGTGACATGGCTCAAAATCGTTCTCAGTGGCGCAGATGCATCCACTCCTTGTGACTTATGATTTCCAATGAAACGGTTTTGTTCTTCGTTATTACTCTTCCTTTGTCTCATACCTCTGCTTACTGTCTCTATTATGCTTTTCTTATACTTTCTTCTCTTGCTTCGCGCGCTACACGGAATGTGGCGACTTGAACTTCCGCACATTTGTGCAAAGTTCTATGTCGAAAACAGACAGACATGTCACCAATTGTTTCCAACCATTGATTTTTGCCATCCCGAGGATCCCAACCAGGAAGTCTGCACCTTCCTACGAGGCTTAGGAAGGTCTATCTCCCATGTGAAGTGGTATAATAGGGTGAGGAATATTGAGGTTAGGCGTCGGTCGAGTGCTAGTTAAGGAGGGGAAAACAAAAGGAGAGGCTGTTAAGCCACATCGACTGAGATGGTTGGGACATATGTTGGGTATACCTAGCCATCGTCTTCCTCGGTTGACGGGCAATGTTAGCTGACATAGGGTCAGGCTGGAAAAGAGCTAGCGGCGGTCAAAGCAAAACCAACATGGCTTCATCAGTAAATGAAATCCACAACAGTTAGTTTAAGCTAGCTACGTAGGAAGGTGTAGACTTCCTGGTTGGGGTCCTCGGGACAGTAAAAATCAATGAAGGCTGGAGACAATCGGTGATATGGCTCAAAATCGTTCTCAGTGGCGGTTGCAGATGGATTCAGACTTTGTGACTTATAATTTCCAATGAAACTATGGTTATTACTATTTCTTTTGTTTCATATCCATGTATATTGTCTCTATTTTGCATTTCTTATACTTTCTTCTCTTTCTTCGTGTGCTACAAGGAGGGAGTGTGGCGACTTAAACTGCTGCACATTAGTGCCAAGTTCTATGTCGAAAACAGACAGATCAAGATCACAGCTTTTTATTTAAAATGTTTTCGTTTAATTTTCGTTACACTATCTTACTCAACGTCTGTGTAGGATTCTACCTAGTCGAATGGTATTCCTATTTTACATTTTATAATTACTGTCAGAATAATTTTAATTGTATACGATATACCGGCTGATCAGAGCGTATTCTTAGCTAAAACTTAGCACAGTATGTATTCACATTTATGAAGTTAACGCTTGTCATCTGTATCATGTTTGACGATCAGAATACTTGTTACCTAATATCCGTAAACATACAAATAGCTAATGCAGATAATCTGAATAACAGTTAAGGAGCATATCACTAACTCTTATAAGTCTCTCAACTGGAAGGTAGTTATTTTATGAAAGTGAATACTGACTGCTTGCTAACGATGTCGACCTTTATAACTCACCAATAATTCATTCAATCAGTGTTCGCGAGTCTCGATCTCTTTCATAGTTAGTTTTAAGACTTTGGAAAAGGTGCAGTATATATCTTGACAATACGCCGGATATTTAGGCCTTCATAAAGGTGATAACTGACTTAAAAGGTAGGACTGACACTAAATCGGAATGAATTATGGTTCTGTCAGACAACTGTCTGTCTGGATTCAACATAGAACTTGGCACTGAAGTGCAGCAGTTCGAGTTGCCACGTTCCAAATACCACACAAAGGTAGACAAGAAGATGAGTGAAGAGAATCAATAGAGTTTGACAGGTATAAGAGCGAAACAGAATGGGTAATGGTAGAAAGAAATGTGAAAGATTACAGAGACTGAATACATCTGCGCCATTGATAACGATTTTGAGCCATGTCACCTATTGTCTCCACCCATTGATTCTTAGAGTCCCGAGGGCCCCAACCCGGAAGTCTGCATCTTCCTACCTGACTCAGTTTAACTGTCAAGGATTTCATGGATTGATGCCATGTTTTTGTTTGGCCAAACAACTACTAGTTATCGACACTATTCTTAGTAAAGACATGCTTTTTATGTTAGCAGTTATTATTATTAATTTTTCAGTGTCTTGAGAAATGTAAGTTGTTGTTTGAACTCAATTACCTGTAACAA